GTGGGAGGGGTGATAAGACCCCAGCCAGGTGCCTATCCAGTCTCCTCTTGAAGATTTCCAGGGAAGGTGAGAGCACCACCTCTCTGGGAAGCCTATTCCAGGCTCTGGCCATCCTTACAGGGAAGTAGTTCTTCCTAATATCCAACCTAAACCTATCCTCCCTCAGCTTGTGGCCATCGTTCCTGGTGACTCCAAGGAGGGCCCTGGTGAACAGACCTTCCCCAAGTCCCTGCTGGTGGCCCCTGATAAGGTTGTAGGCAGCTACAAGATCCCCCCTCAGTCTCCTCTTGCGAAGACTGAAGAGATTCAGGTCCCTCAGCCTCTCCTCATAGGGCTGGCCATGGAGGCCCTCAACCATACGAGTGGCCCTCCTCTGGACCCTCTCCAGGTTCTCCACGTCCTTGAAGTGTGGCACCCAGAACTGGACACAGATCATTAAGATGTTGAACAAAAAGTTGGCGTCCAAAGCAGCACGTCCAGATCAAAGCACTGGCTTCGTTAGGCTTTCTGAACTGCTTCGGAGCTGCCTCGGAGATCTGGCCATAGGGGAATCAATGAAATATCTATAACTTTGTTGTTTTTTGTCTGATCTGGGTGAAATGTGCAGGGGTGGTAGCCTCTGCTGAGAGCATGAAACATGCCAAGTTTCAAGGAGATAGGAGCAGGGGCTTGGGGAGAACTGCACCCCAAATTCTTGCAAGCACAACATGTCACACGTGTGTGTTAAGCCACAGTGGGGTCAAAGCTGCAGGGGTGGTGGCCCCTGCTGAGGCCATGAAGCTTGCCAAGTTTCAAGGTGATAGGTGCAGGGGTTTGGGGGGAACTGCACCTCAAGCTGCACACAAGCAAAACTCATGCCATGGGTGACACTGTAGTCTGTGGTTTTGTAGGTGTTAACGATCCAGCACTTGTCCTTGTTGAACCTCATGAGATTTCTTTTGGCTGAATACTCCAATTTGTCTAGGTCATTCTGAATCCTAGCCCTTCCCCCAGTGCATCTACTATACCCCCAGCCTGGTGTCATCCACAAACTTGCTGAAGGTGCAATCTATCCCATCTTCCAGATCATTAAGACGTGGAACAAAATGGGCCCCAGCACCAACCCCTGGGGCATTCCAGTTGATACTGGCTGCCAACTAGACACTGAACCATTGATTACTACCCACTGAGCCTGACAACCCAGCCAGGTTTCTATCCACCTTGCAGTCCATTCATCTAACCCATTCTTCATCAGCTTGCTTGCAATAATGCTGTGGGAAGTGGCATCAAAAGCCTTGCTAAAGTCGAGGTATATTATGTCCACTGCTTTCCCTGCATACAGAGCCAATTTTTAGCACTGTGCGAAGCTTCGGTCCCTGATTCGATTCGGTGGAGATTCGGCCCGATTCAGTGGCCAAATCTCTGAATCCCAATAGAATCAGAGGACGTTTTAATCTCTTTGAATTGAATCAGAACCCTCTGAGTTGATTTGGAGAGATTTGGACATAGACACAGCTGACCCCATTCTGCTGGCAGAGGATGTGTGTTGCTCCTTGACACAGAGTGCCACACCCCCACCTTTCCTTCCTTCTCTATCCTGCCTGTAAAGCCTATAGCCCCTAATGCTAACTTCCCAGTCATAGGATGAATCCCACCATGTTTTTGTAAGCCCTATTATGTCTGGGTCTGAACTGGCTATTCTGAGGGCGAGTTCCTCCTGTTTATTCCCCGTCCTACGAGCATTGGTATATAGGCATTTAAGGCCTTGCCTACCTGCATGTGCCACTCCCTGATTTGGGAGACTGTCTGGACCCTTGTTTCTTACCTGGGCACTCCTTGCATTTGTCATCTGTCTTGCTCAGGTGGTGTCTCCTCGTCTTCCTGTGGCCCCCTCCCCCAGTGAGGCTAGTTTAAAGCTTGCCGTACAAGATCAGCCAGCCTTGAAGAGAAGACACGCTTGCCTTTAGGAGAGAGGTGAAGCCTATCCCACCCCAGCAAGTCCCCCACCTGAAAGCGTAGGTCATTATCTAGGAACCCAAGGCCTGCCTGGCGGCACCAACTGCGTAAGCGCCGGTTGACCTCGCCATCTGGGGATGCCATCTCTTCAGAGGGTCCTAGTTCTACCTGGTCAGGGTATGGCGTCATTGGTACCCTTCATGGCCATGCCACTGTTTAAATAAGTTAAACAGGCCATCCACTGCCGGCAGGGTGCAGTTTTAGGTCGTACCCGTGACCATTCCCTACTCGCCCCCCATACATCCAATTTTTCATTGCTTCTTCCTGCAAAATCCCCAGTCCCTCCTCCATGGTCCACCAAGACTGTGGCCCTAGGTCATCATGATCTCCCCTCTTTGCCCGCTTGTCCATCCAGCATTCTATACACCAATCTAATAGCGGAGCATGGG